TTATGCGCAATTGGCATTTCCCAATGATCAGAAAAGTGCACTTTCGCTTTCGGCCCACTCGTTCCTCTTGTCAGCGGCTTAGCACACACGTGAGCATCACTATCACCGAAAGTTGGGCATCAAGACTGATTTTGATTTAGCAATTGTTCCACGGCTGGTAAGGTTGATAAGGGACTAGAGGGAGCGTTTAAGGACAACACAACGGTGGATGGGAACAGATTGATATTGGGCCTTTGTATATTGGAGTGTATATCATTATTCAATGAGAGAGAACACGATGGACTTGCCGCGCATCCCTATGAGAGGTTTCATAGTCAGTCTATCATTCTTCAATTCTCCTCAGAAGCAACCAGTTCAGTTGCGATACCACCGCTTCCAAAGGACATGTTGCGGCTCGACGAGTAAGTTGGATATCGGAGGCTCTGACTACCTCACCGAAACTGAAGTGAGCCTAAGAAGGCAATTGGGATTTGATAAAACAAAATTAAAGCAACCCTTGTGACATGTCAAATTGGAAAAATGTAAATCCCCTTTCCTGTGGCTGTTCGTCAAAAGCCGTTCGTGCTTTGGAGATCCGATGCTGCACCACGCCGGATCCATCTTCTTGTCCTTGCCTTGCCCCACAAGCTTGCAGCTCGTTGAATTGGAACGAATAGAAATCGTGCAGCCTGCCTGATCAAGCCTCTTAGCAAGGGCCAAGACTTTGGAGAGCTGCCTAGCCGCGTTCCACGCGCAGGCAGGATCATCGTCGGATATCCTAGGAGTCTAGGACCTACACCTTACGAGGACGTATGGTACAGGCCGGACCAAATGCTCCCTTTGTCGAGACATCTACTCCTGATCTCTCCTCTCTCCCTCCCTTGTGTGCCTAGGTGTGGTCAATGGTGATCCTCCATGGAGTCTGATTATGCTATCTTTTTGTTTCGAGAAGTAAAAAATTTGCCGTATGTGCATCGCTTCATGAATGTAGATGCATATTAAGGCACCTACTTAATCAGATGGGATGGAAGTCTTCCCAGAATAGGTACGCATGCAGCCTCGAATCCTAGACTAAGTACTGCCCAGTAAGAATGACAAATAGCCCTGTTCTTACTGAACTCGCTATTATCGATTTACTTACCTCGTGACGGCTTTTAAATCTCGATCGTTCATGTAAGCGGACAGCCATTCGAAGCGGCCAAGCGTGGTATTACGTTTGACGCCCGTAATTCGTATGTGTAACGATGTAGCGTCATAGACTTTTTGCAGCTTGAGATGCATACGCACTTACATAACGTACTTATCAGCCGTATGCACCCCTAAGCATCTCAGTCCCCTTTTATGCATGTATCTGCCTGAAATAGTATATCCTAGTAATACATCCCAATCATAATACATTATTCCAAGACTCAGTGATTCTACGAATGAAGTAATTCGTCAATAGAAATATGCAGCAGACCATGAGCTGGGAAAGGACGAAGATCCGATCCTCATAGGTCGTTTTCCTCCGCCTTTCGTACTCGCGGCTGCAGGTTGGGGAGGGGAAATCCTGCTTCAGCCACACAGAAAAGACTCGGTGTAGGTGAAAGAGAGGAAAGACTGGGCTCGTTCCAACCAATGGAACCTGATACGCAGCCCAAAGGAAGTCAGAAGACACCAATGCGCGTACTCTTAGCATCCAAACAGCGCAAATCACTGCAATTCTTACCTCAGGTACTTGTAGCCATCAACGTCACTATTGTCCAACATCAGCTTAGCTTCCCCCGCACATTCATGCATGCAACTGCTAAGGAACCCCACCATCGTCATCCACACAGTAGAGGAGTTTCAGGCCTTGGAGGTTGAATGGAATGACAGACGAGATTGTTGTTCGCTGTGTGGTCCTTTAAAATCGGTTGAGTCCCCCTTTCATAATTCTTTTCCACTTACTCTTCCTTGATACTAGTTGGTCCTCCCATTGAAATATATCGGGACATTGACCTCGACCAGCGCCAGGTCCAGACTTACAAGCCACACCCCCTTATTCGCCTATCGCCACTTACACGACTGCTGAACGAGGTTCAGCACCACTAACAACTACCATGGAGCGAGTTCATCAAAGTATGCGTGCACATTGAACCCGGGTATTTGAAGATGAGACTCGTGCTAATTGACCTACTACCTGGTAGTCAACCCATTCGTGAAACGCGATAGCCACAGCAAGAATACCGTGCTTACCTGGTAAGTACCTATTTTGATGATCCAACTTCGAGGCTTTGGTGGAATGCTGACAGATTCATAGTATGTCATACTCTATGAATGAACTTGCCCCTCTCTACCCTTCCGTTCGGACTGCCGAAATAGTCGATGGGAAGTCAGTTTAAGATTGCTGGACACGATATTAACTTGAAGCAGACAAGATCTTGACAACGGTCACCTGGCTGCTTTCCATCGTCGTCTCATTCTACTACACCTTCCACAGTCCTCATGATGGCGTCTGGTACCGGCGGAAGATTTGGGGTCAGAACGATGCGTATGACACGGCCTTCCGGATGAACCACATCATCGCCAGCATATATTGGTAAGTCTCAACCTCAGATGGGCTTTGTACTGCGAACAGGTGTACCTGACATGTTCTATCTAACTAGGATCGTCCTCTTCATCCTCCAGGGAGGCTATATCGCTTACCTTTTCTCCGGCACCGTCGAGCGTGTGAACGAGGCGTGCTCTGTCGGAAGCCACTTTATCATCAACAACCTGTTCCACTTTGCCTTTGTTATGCTCTTCGTACGGTCCTATTTCGGTTGGGCTGAGTTGTTCATCATCCTCAACTTTATCAACCTGTCTTCGCTATACTTCCGCCACCCGGGGTACGCTCGGGTTATCCACTTCCCCGTCGTCTCCGGGCCGTTAGCGTGGACATTCGTTGCGATCTACTGGAACGGAGCCATCATGGTGCCCCATCCCGCATCGCTGGTTGCTCGCATTTTTGGCAACATCTTCATCTGGTCCATCCTGGTGTATGGTCTGTTCTTTATCATTGTCTACAGGGTTAGTATTGCTATCATACCCCTACTTTGCGCACGATACTCATATTTTATACCAGGACTACACTATGGGATTTAATCTCAGCGTTTTGTCGGCGGCGATCGGAGTTTCTCAATTCTTCCGACAGGTCATCGCGTTCCAGTGGATATTCGCCTTCGTCATTATGGCAGTCCTCTTCATCGCGACTGTGGTAGTTGCTGTGCCTGCTGCTACCGGAAAGAATACCAAGCTACCTAGCGCTCGGGGAGGTGATACTGAGCGGGCTCCCCTCCTCGGTGAGCACAACTGAGAGGCGTTTCAAATGAGAGTCTTTGAAAGTGCAGATGATGAATAGTGGGAGCTGTGATGGAGATATGCAAAATATCTTAGCTCATGCGAAGATTGGTTCATGTCCGTACACTGTCACTTCAGGTATCATTTCCAAAATCTGACTGGTGCGATGGCGTTGGTAGGACTCGGGGAGGAAAATAAGAGATGAGATCTTCGGCATTTTATGAGCCTGTTCAGGTGGATGATTATGTTGTATCCGTAATTCATGGTCTGTGGCTTTAGGCAGGACCTACATAATATATTGTCTATCTATCGATGAATGGATTTTGGTTGACCGAGATTGAAATAACAGTATGATTTTCTTATGTAAGCTTTGTTGAAGTCTGCAGCCCCGGGCGGTGACTTCAATGACGATTGATAACGATAAAAAGTATCTATGTGTGTACAATCAGTAAATAGTATTTACATTTCATCAACACGCAACCCCAGCAGTCAATCAAAGTAACCAGTCTTCGTTATGATGGCCAGCAAGAGGATATTCTCAATTGGTATTGGGACCGACATCTGTAAAATATCCAGGATATACAAGGTCCTGAATTCTCCCAGCTGCACGAGGTTCCTCCGTCGCATCCTCACCCCTCAAGAACGGAAGTGGCCCAAGCCCACCAAGCTCGTTCAATATCTAGCCACGCGACCACCGCCAGCGCCAGATGACCCCCAGGACCCAAACATAGCGCAGGCAGCCGAATACGTGGCTGGGAGGTTAGTATTATATAGTCACCCACAAGGAGAGCGATCTAAAACGAAGAGATACAACGGATCGCTCATACGTTACGTGCCAGGTTCGCGGCTAAGGAGGCCGTCATCAAAGCTTACAGCGTCCGGGACTTGCAGTTCGGGGACATCGAGATCACGTACGAGGGTGTCGTTGATCCTCTTGATCCGCCCAAGCGCTCTGCGAAAAGAAAATTGTTGGCCGTCATCAGGGACGCACAGGGCCGTGAAGACGCGTACGCGCGCCTTAGTATTAGCCATGATGGGGATTACGCTGTTGCCATGTGCCTGCTGGATTTACCGGAGACGGAGTCGGATGCCGCACCTATACTTGGCGAGGGAAAGCCTGCTGATGATCCGAAGTGATGCTTGCCAGGAGAGCGGTGGTTGATGGTTGTAGGCTGTATGCCTACCTACCTACCTAGTACCTTGAGGCTTGGAGTTGGATCTCTAGATAGAAGGGTACCTACGTAATCCGTAGGTATACGATATGCCTGGCTTTGGCGGAGAATCACCTTTGGCGACCTGCCGCCAATGCATTGAATTAGAAAGACATCGGGCCCGGGCTTGGATTGTCTAAAATGAATCTCACTCGCAGGAAGCAAGATTCTCAGCAGCCAACATGAGTATCGTCATGTCATGTACATGCATATTTCAACAGCTTATGCTCTTATGCAACAACGCGAGCTAAACAATTTCCGGTTCCATCAGCTCTCCGCACATATCTAAATGTAAATGCACAACTTTACATTGATGTAAACCGCAGCCCTTGCGTCTTAGAAATGTCGGCAGGGCATACCATTTGCGAGCAAAGATGACGCAGCCAGCCATTACGCCCCTTTATGCTAAGGCCCCGCAGGGTATGTCCAAAAGAGTTGAGTCGGGTAATAGATATAACAGCATTTTTCGGACCAAAATCAGTAGTCCCTAGTAGCGTGGGTCTACTTTCAGACTGCTTGGCGCAATGGTAGCGCGCGGTCCTCCTATTTCTTTCCCTTGCGAAGCGAAATGCGGAGTGAAAGACTGAGGTTGCGGGTTCGAGTCCCGTGGTGGTCGCCATTTTTGCTTTTTTGTTTGGTAAATAAATGTTTCCTGAGTAAGTTAGTTGGTTAGCATAGACTTCCACCAACGTCTGTTCTTTATTTTATTTGCATTGGTTGCATTCCATTATTTTCGACAAGTTTGGTGGATTATGAGATGCCCTTTTGTTGAGGTGTTCATGCTGGTTCCCGAGCAAAGTTGACTGACTTATCAGGCGGCCGCTCTAACTCATGGAGGTACATAACAGGTACGAAGAAAGACAATGTTTAACGAGATTCGATTTTGCAATAATCTTGCTGCATCACTAATTAAGATCGAAGAAAACTCATCGTATCGATATTGACTACTCCCTCAAGATCGGCGACAGAAATCTAAGTTAGTATCTGTACTTACCTTTGTACCCTCACGGCTTATAACGATATGAGGCTATCGAGATACTTAGTAACCAGCTTGCTGTACCGTTTACGAGAGTATCAGCTACTATGTATGCACTTTGATCGCTAAAGGTTTAGGTACTAGACGCTGAATTCTGGGGAAGGTCTAGGGTCATTTTGATGCTGTACTGCATGTATGTACCTACCGAGGTATTCAAGAGCCTCATTGATGAATTCATGTAGGTACAAGGTTCCGCCGACTGAAGAAAAATGTAGACTCCAATCACATCATTCTCTCATTCTTCATTCATCCTGTCGCCGACAACCTCCCTGGGGACTCTAGCGCTCCCCAGTTTTCTCAACTCTAGAATGAAGAATAAAGTATACAATTGAAAAGCTTAATTCGACACAATCGCCATGGCTACCGATGTGGATTTACCAAAGCGTCAACTCACGCCCGTCCCTATTCCTACTTCTACGCCTCCTACACTTCCTGTCTCCATCCCTCAAAAACGACCTCTCGAAGATGACCACGCGCCACCAGTTTCTTCACCACTTAACCCCAACCCTGATGTAAAACCCAATAAGTCACAGTCGCATGACGACCAATTAGCCATGGTGCGAGAGAAGCCATCCAGAAACAAGAAAGATACGCTCAAAAAGCGAGAATCTAAAGTTGGACTGGCCGCCGACAGCTCCAGAGCAACCCCGGATCCCAAGGTCAGGGAGCTTCCCCCCAACGAGGCCTCGCCTCTGCGTTATAAGCTAGCCCCCCCGAAGCCCTCTGACTTTGAGACCGCAAGAGGTCCCGTCTTTACCCTCCATCATGAAGTCCCTGCCCTGAACGGATCTGCCATTCAGTTCTACGAAACCTCGGAACAGTGAGTCGCATTTGGTGCAGAGCTATCGTAACCTATGACTGACCTACATCTAGTGTCTACAATAAGAAGAGCTTCCACTACCTCCACTGCATAGCCGACCCAGCCTTTCCTTCCTCTTTCTACTACCGACAGACTGAACCCGCACCCTACGGCGCCCATATAAGTTTCGAAGATGCCGCCACTCACATGTACTTGGATCAATCAGGCCACCATATCACCACAGATAAAGGCTTCAGGACCGCAAGAGCAAATGTCGCCGTGCGCCAAGGTCGATGGTACTGGGAGTGCAAGATTACAAGAGGCACTATCAGGAGCAGCGCAGACGGAACCGTCGAATCTCACGGCCACGTGCGCATAGGATTTGCGAGGCGAGAGGCTTCTTTAGACGCGCCAGTGGGGTTTGATGCTTACAGCTACGGCATTCGAGATGTCCAAGGTCAGAAAGTTCACATGTCGCGACCAAAGGATTTCTTCCCGCCGGGTGAAGAGATCAAGGAGGGCGACGTCATCGGCCTGGAGATTCAGCTGCCGTCCGAATACTTACACAGGAAAGTCGTTCACGGCCAATACAATCCGGCCGTAGACCTGGCAGATGAAACCGAACCGACTGTAGAAGCTGCTAATATCGTCCGGGACCGAATACCCATTCGCTTCAAGCAACACATATACCTGGAGAAGATCGACTACCACACGACTAAGGAACTTGAGGACTTGATGAATCCGTCACCCGCTGGCCCGTCGGGAAATATAGGCAGTAGGCCTGCAGACAAACCGAACCCGATCCACCAGGTCCCAGCTCTGCGCACGCTACCCAACTCGTGCATCAGGGTCTACAAGAACGGCACGCTGATGGGCACTCCGTTCACCGACCTACTGGCCTTCCTCCCGCCTGCTTCGAAGCCGCAGGTCCAGGTGGGCGCACGAGAGGGAATGGACGACGGCATGGTCGGATACTACCCCGCAATCAGCGTGTTCCGCGGCGGCGCAGCCGAAGTCAACTTCGGGCCAGAGTTCTGGTATCCGCCCCCGGGCTACCAGGGCCCGGACGACGACGGCGACGTAGACATGGTGGACGTGGATACGGTCAGGGTCGCGACCGCCGCTACTCAGGGTAGCCTGGATAAGATCCGGCCGGTGGCGGAGCGGTACGACGAGCAGATCGTAGAGGACGTGGTGGCGGACATTGTGGACGAGGTCGACTTCTGGATGCAGGATGGGGCGCGCGTCATCGACCGCACGGGGGGCCGCGACGCCAAGGCCGAGACGACGGCCGGCATCGCGCCGGCCCGAGAGGAGATCAAGGAGCTCGTGCAAGACGATTAGGACTTGTCGAAACGTACGCAGGCTAATGGATCTCCTTCTCCCCCACCCTCGCCCCCCAGCCCCAGTCACGGCTCTGGACGCGGTCGCGGTCGAGGTCGAGGTCGAGGTCGTGGCCGTGGCCGTCCTCGAGGACGAAAGGTGACTGCTTATGGTGCATAGCTTGGTATTCCACGACGATATAAGGCTTAGGAGAGCAAGAGGGAATGACCATTGCGACTGATATGACGATCTGGTCTGGCCTGGTCTATGAGCCTCGAAGGTGTTGTAGCTGTAGACTACCTGAGGGTACGTACGTACGTAGTAGCTGGCACCGGGCACAAATGAATACCTCCGCGGAAAGGTCTTTCTAATATATGCAATGCGTTCTCTCCGTAGCTTTCTACTTGAAATCGGGTCAATATCAGACAACATGACAGTGTTGAAATTAAGGTACGGAGCAGGTAGGTACCTACCTATACATCAGAAGATCAAATGTTGCCTTGATTTCAAAGCGATTGTTCTTTCTCCGCCACATTTCGGCGGGAATGCTTGCGATTCGGGGCAATCATCGTCACAGGGGGCACATATAAGTACGTCAGGCCAGTACTTGGAAAAATAACGATCGAACCGGCACTGTGCCTGGTCTTAGCCTCGGTATTGCTTGGGACGAACCCTGAGTGAGAGACTTGGCTATTCCTACGCTATAGAACAAAGTATGTGTGCCTCAACATACCTTGCAAGTACCTTGGCCAGTGAAGACAAACAAGTCGGAGCCTGAAGAAGCCATAGACCAAACGCAGCGAGGCGCGCGAGTCTCATGATACGACTCCGGCGCTGAGATTATATACGTATCAACTTATTAAATTTTCAACAAGTATTTGTTTGGATCTATATAAACATGCTAGCCCGACCAATTGCCGCTCTGGTCCATCGAGCCTCGCATCAAGTTATCGAAGAAGGCGAAATCAACGCCCTGGAACCCCCAGTCCTCCGCGACGGCCGCGGGCCCTGGATATAGGTGCTGCTGCTGAAAAGAGCTGTCCATGCCGTCTGAAACCTGCAGTGCAGGTGGCCCGTCCGTACCGCTGAGTCTGAGCTCTTGTGCAGGCTGTGACTGAGTCTGGCGCTGTTGACCGTTGTTGAGTTTTGGGGGTGCACTAGGCTGCATCTCTATAGAGCTGTCGTCGAATGACACGCCTATATTGGGTGACTGTATGGAGTCGTGGCTAGCAGAACCCAAATGTGTCTCGGAGGTGAAATTGGCGGGCGCACCAGGTGCTATCTCCTTGGATATGACGTCTTCGCGTGCAATACGGATGGTGCCAAAATAGGGAATGCCTATCTGCAGCACATTCTCCTCATCCGTAGGCTGCTGTTGTGGTTTCTCCGACACAGGCTCCCTCCGCGCGCTGTAGGCCTCGCCCTTGGCGGCGTTGGCCTCGATGGCAAGCAAGCGACGGAGTAAGTTGGGGCTTCCGGTGCTTAGCGCGTCCCCGTTAATCCGCGCTATCTGCTCCATCTTCTCGAGAACCTGCTCCAGAATGGCACGGTCTCCGAGGTGCTGGTGTGCCAGGAAGTCCAGGTCGTGCTCGGCCGGGTTGGGGCAGTTCCGCCGTCGATGGCATTCGAGGTGGGCTAGCAATAGAGTCAGGGCAGCCATGAGTGCGAAGAAATCAACGGCGCGGCAGCAGAACGCGACGCGGTTGAAGCTTCGAAATACGACGAAGCGTGTCAGCACCTCGCGCGACGCGTTGACGCAGGTTATCTGGGAGTACCCGTGCCAACAATCGGCCGAGTTGAAGCGCAGGATGAAACTCAGGTGAAGCATACTGAGTAAGTTGAAATGATAGATCTGGTTGACGAGCCGTACCATCTCCAAGAAGACAGACTTCTCGTCGCGCCCATCAGTGGCAGCTAGGTTGGGTGCTAGCCACCAGCTACTCGGCATGATTCGAGCCGCTCGCTGCAGATCCCCATCGATCTCTCGTAATGTAGAGTAGTCATGCGAAGTAGGATCCGCATCATTGCGCTCCAGGATGCGCGAGGCGATGGCACAGTGCGTGCGCTCTAATTGACCCATCGCTGTATCGGTAGCAAAGGCAGGCTCCGATACCATGCTCCTATCTAGCGAGCCTTGCGGGAGCCCGAGCATGAGGGAGTGGAAACGGTCGGCGTACACGATACGGGTCCAGAAAAACCGCGGGTAGAATTTGGTTTTCGGGTCGATCACCCTCAAGGTGGTAATACCATTGACACGATGAATGCCCATCAGTTGAGCCAAGACCATCGCACGACGAAAGACTATCGAGGCTCTCCGCAAGTTGCCGCAATTCGACTGGTAGATCCCCTCCATCATAATACACTCAAGTCCTTCGACAGAGCCGAGTAGCTCGTCATTGGACGTGACCAGGCTAGCCGCAGTGTCTGCAAGTCTTTGCATCACAACCCGCGGTTTCTC